GCAGTTTTATGATGGGACATGAAAGCATTATGGACTTTATTGAACAACAACAATAGCAAAAACTATTTAACTACTGTAAAGAGCTAAAGTGAGAATCACTTGAACTGTAAATGAGGGGAAAAAAAGTTGTATTTCCAAACTGGCATGAAGGCAGACTATATCCACTGAAACAGGGTAGGCCAAAGGTAAGACAGCTAAACTCTCAGAAAAATGGTATCTCAGGAACTTTTCCTTGCAGTTATGTCTGCTATGTCTATTCAAACTCCAGAGACTGTCATGGTTGCCCACATAGTAGGTACAGGACATGAGAGAGGTGCTTGTTGTACTGTCCTTGCCTGTTACCCAGATGTATAATGGCTGCTGCCTCCTTCATAGTGGGTTTCCTTATTTCTTCTTTGCATTATCCATTGTGTATATAGAAGATGGATTTTGCTGTCAGGAACAAGTTGTTATGTGTAGGCTTACTGTGCCAGAAATATTGGGAAAATAAATACAGCTGACCTTCCACACCCCTGGGCTCTGCTTCTACAGATTCAACCAAGCACAGATGAAAATACTTTTTAAAAAATCATCGCTGTGTTGAATATGACAGGATCCTTTCTTGTTATTATTGCCTCCATAGTTCAGTACAAGAACAATTTTACATAGCATTACCATTGAATTAGATGCCATAAGTGTCTAACACAGTATTCAAAATAAATATGTGTATGTGTGCAGATTACACAAATACTGCCCCATTTCATATAAGACATATAAGAGCATCTGTAGATTGTGGTATCTGAAGATAGTCTGGTAGATAACAGGGGATGACTAGAATCAGGGCATCTGCAACAAGGATGTGAAATGAGCCAGTATAATAGTGTTGCCCACTGCAGAAACCTGCCCATCGCAAAGGCAAATACATGGTAGTGGCAAGTACTTAAGAGCTTTTAAGCTAAACACATTCTCCAATATATTCTTTTGTATATATATATATATATATATATATATATATATATATATATGTGTGTGTGTGTGTGTGTGTGTGTGTGTGTGTGTGTGTGTATATATACATATATATTAATTTGATATAAAATACAGACTAGCAAAATATCTATGACACTTTTATATAATATTGAAGAATGGCATATAAAATGAATATAACATGGTATATATGTATGCATTCAAAGTATAACTTAATTTCTTTATTTCAATGATATATATTCAAGTGTGCTAATTATGTGTCTAGTAATTATCTCATGTCAGTAATAATATGAAATAACAATATTTAATAAGCTGAGAGTATAATTTTATATACTTAATTATACTTTTATTTGTTAAAAGTAGGAAAGTAGCCAGCACAAACAAACATCAGAAAGGAACCATTTTGTTTATTTTCTTGCTTTCTTAAAAATTTTTACTTTATTTTATAATTTAATTTAATTTTACATATCAGCCACAGATTTCCTTGTTCTTCCTGCTCTCCCCCTCCCCGCCTTCCCCCCAGCCCACCCCCATTCCCATATCCTCCAGGGCAAAGACTCCCCTGGGGATTGAGTTAAACCTGGTAGATTCAGTCCAGGCAGGTCCAGTCCCCTCCTCCCAGGCTGAGCCAAGCGACCCTGCATAAGCCCCAGGTTTCAAACAGCTAACTCATGCACTGAGTACAGGACCCAGTCCCACTGCCTGGATGCCTTCCAAACTGATCAAGCCAATCAAGTGTCTCACTTATCCAGAAGGCCTGATCCACTTGGGGGCTCCTCAGCTATTGGTTCATAGTTCATGTGTTTCCATTTGTTTGGCTATTTGTCCCTGTGCTTTTTTGAATCTTGGTCTCAACAACTCTTGCTCATACAATCCCTCCTCTTTCTTGCCAATTGGACTTCTGGAGCTCCACCTGGGGCCTAGCCATAGATCTCTGCATCCAGTTCCCTCAATCGTTGGATGAGGTTTCTATCACGACAATTAGGGTGTTTGGCCATCCCATCACCAGAGTAGGTCAGTTTGGGCTGTCGCTTGACCATTGCCAGTAGTCTATTGTGGAGGTATCTTTGTGGATTTCTGTGGACCTCTCTAGCACTTTGCTTCTTCCTATTCTCATGTGGTCTTCATTTATCATGGTCTCCTATTCCTTGTTCTCCTTCTCTGTTTTTGATCCAGCTGGGATCTCCTGCTCCCCTAAGCTCTCGTTCCCTCAACCCTTGCCCTTCATTACCCCCACTCACATCCAGGTTGTTCATGTAGATCTCATCCATTTCTCTGTCACTGGGCGATCCCTGTGTCTTTCTTGGGGTCCTGTTTTCCAGGTAGTCTCCCTGGTGATGTGAGTAGCAGTCCAGTCATCCTTGTTCCACATCTAGTATCCTCCTATGAGTGAGTACATACCATGTTTGTCTTTCTGAGTCTGGGTTACCTCACTCAGGGTGATTTTTTCTAGATCCATCCATTTGCCTGCAAACCTCATGATGTCATTGTTTTTCTCTACTGAGTAGTATCCCATTGTGTATATGTAGCACATTTTATTTATCCATTTTTCAGTTGAAGGGCATCTAGGTTGTTTCCAGGTTCTGGCTATTACAAACAATGCTGATATGAACATAGCTGAGCAAGTGCTCTTGTGGTATCATTGAGCATTTCTTGGGTATAGCTGGGTCTTGAGGGTAATTGATTCACAATTTTCTAAGAAAGCACCATATAGATTTCCAAAGTGGTTGTACAAGCTTGCATTCCCACCAGCAGTGGAGGAGAGTTCCCCTAGTTCCACATCCTCTCCAGCATAAAGTGTCTTCAGTGTTTTTGATCTTAGCCATTCTGACAGGTGTAAGGTGGTGTCTCAGAGTGGTTTTGATTTGCATTTCCCCGATGATTAGGAATGTTGAGCAATTCCTTAAATGTCTTTTAGCCATTTGAGCTTCCTCTGTTGAAATTCTCTCTTTAGTTCAATAGCCCATTTCTTAATTGGACTGTTGGGCATTTTGATCTCTAATTTCTTGAGTTCTTTATATATTTTGGATATCAGTCCTCTGTCAGATGTGGGGTAGGTGAAGACCTTTTCCTATTCTGTAGGCTGTCGCTTTGCCTTGTTGACTGTATCCTTTGCTCTACAAAACCTTTTCAGTTTCAAGAGGTCCATTGATTGCTTCTTTCTCTCAGTGTCTGTGCTACTGTTGTTATTTTTAGGAAGTGATCGCCTATGCCAATGTGTTCAAGACTACGTCCTACTTTCTCTTCTATCAGGTTCAGAGTAACTGGATTTATGTTGAGGTCTTTGATCCACTTGGACTTAAGTTTTGTGCACTGTGACAGATATGGATCTATTTGCAGCCTTCTACACGTTGATATCCAGTTATGCCAGCACCATTTGATGAAGATGCCTTCTTTTTTCCATTGTTTAATTTTGGCTTCTTTGTGGAAAATCATATGTTCATAGGTGTGTGGATTAATGTCAGGGTGTTCAATTTGATTCCATTGGTCCACATGTCAGTTTTTATGCCAGTACCAAGCTGTTTTTATTACTATAGCTCTATAGTAGTGCTTAAGGTCAGGGATCATGATGCCTCCAGAGGTTTTATTGTACAGGATTCCTTTGGCTATCCATGTTCTTGTTTTTTTACTCCAGGATTTGTCATGGTACAACTTGCAAAGGTCTGATACATATAAAACCTAAAAAATGCATTTAATATGTACTTTGTGCATATATCTAACCTTCAGAAATAGAAAGTAAATCACATTGAGTGGTAAAATGTTATAGCATAAGGCCACTAGGTATATATGTAATATGGTTAAACTTTTAGTACTATAATTTCATAACATCGTGTGTACATGGTGTATATGAGAGTTGGTGACAGTTGCCACTATTTTTGCCTTGGTAAGAAAACCTATATGTTGAAAACCTATGTGTTGAAGTAGAGAATGTCTTTAATAAGCAACTATGGAGGCGAGGCACCTGTGGGAATTTGTAGATTTGTCAGATTTTATTATCCACACATGACAAACCACAGTTTTCTATAATATTCGGAGGAGAGCAGGGTGAGAACATTAGTTCCAGACAGAAAAATATTTTAGGAATTTAATGTAACATGACATCAGTTAAGATGAATTAAACAAAAATGTCCAATATTAGTTAAAAACTAAAATATTCAACTTGAAATAAGCTTAGTGGGACATACCCATAACCCCATTAATTAGGAGGTTGAGAAAGGGAGGTGATTAGCTCTATCTGGGCTTGGCTATATACCAAGTTAGGGTCAAGAAGTGCTATATAGTGAGTTCAAGGACAACCTGAGCGACTTAGTGAGACCCTCTCTCAAGATAGCAACAACAAAATTTGCCTTTAAAAAAACACAGAAGTACTAGTTTCAATGCCCAAACTGAAGTTTTTATTCAAGCACAAAGGTAGTGAAGAAAACATTTCAGCCTCCTTATGAGTAGGTGTTAGTATTTGACATTTTTTGACATCTTACATTTTCTGTTCAAGAAACACACATTTTTTTTTTCAGATTCAAAGACAGCTGTGTGGGTGTTTTCACATTATACTATCCAATATCCAGCATTCTGTAGCAATTAAATGAGTAAGTGAATTTATAATGATTAAGAAAACTAAGAGAACATTCTTCTAAATTAATATAATCTACTTAGATATATAATGTGACAATTGCATAAAACTCTTAATCTGCATTAGAATTCCTTCAACAACGCATTAATTATTCATTTAATGAACAAATATGGAGAGCTTATGGTAATGTGAGTGCAAACAATGGATGAGATACTCTCTCATCTTTAAGGAATTTACAGTTCATTTGACAATAATTACTGTGGTAGTTTGACTGTAATTGGCCCCCATAAGCTCATAGGGAGTGGAACTATTAGGAGGTGTGACTTTGGTAGAATGGGCATAGCCTTGGAGGAAGTGAGTCACTGTGGAGGTGGGCTTTGAGGTTTCTTATGTGCAAAATATTGCCCAGATAGTCAGTTGACTTCCTGTTGCCTGCAAGATGTAGGACACTTGGCTCTTTCTCCAGCACCATGTCTGCCTGCATGCTGCCATGCTCTTTACCATGATGACAATCGACTGAACTTCTGAAACTGTAAGTAAACCTCCTCAATGTTTTTATGAATTGTCATGGTTATGGTGTCTCTTCACAACAATAGGAATCTTAATTAAGACAATTACCTTCCCTTATTAAGTCATTTGGGAGTGGAAAGGAAGATCACATGACTAGACCAGGGCATATAATTCCTGATATCAGTTATTGGGGAGACTTATTCTGTAATCTCCATAGTTGAGCATGTCTATATAGTTATTAACATAGTATCTTAGGAACTTGACTTCAACTCCAATTTGAATGGTGGTATGTAGACAGACAATGATTACAATGACAAATTATGTATAACCTTATTTCCTAACATGGGCACCTATAAGTATATTTTTACCTCATGTAACATTTGTAATTATCTTATGTCTCAGATTCAGGAAAAACCTAGATTTCAGAGTAATCTCATTCAGGTGAAAATGATATTCAGAGTTACATTGACATGAGAAAGTTTTTCATTCAGATCTTTAGAGAACAAACTTTTAGGTAAAACAGTAATGTTAAATTTAAAAGAATAGTGACAACCAGATTACAACCTAAGCTCTAGAGAAACTAGCTAATAAGGAGACCCAAAGAGGGATGAATGGATTGCCCTGGGAAGGGGAAATAGATAAAATCTCCATGAGTAAACTGGGGATGAGGGGTGGGCAATGGAGGGTAGGGAATGGGACGTGAGAATATAAGGGAACAGGATGGTCAAGCTGGAACAGTAATGAAAGAGGTACCATGAAGAGGGAGACATCATGGGGATAGGAAGAAAATGGGTACTGAGAAAGTTCCCAGGAATCCACAAGGATGACCCCAGCTTAGACTACAAGCAATAGTGGAGAGGAATTAGCTTACTAAGGCATTAGCTTACCCCAGTAATCAGATCAGTGAATACCCTAACTATCATCATAGAACCTTTATCCAGTAACTGATGGAAGCAGATGCAGAGATCCATAGCCAAACACCATGCCAAGCTCCAAGAGTCCAGTCGAAGAAAGAGAAGAGGGATTCTATGAGTAAGGGGCATCAAGATCAGAATGGGGAAACCTACAGCGACAACCAAACCAAACTAGTGGAAACTCATGAACTTTAGACCAACAGCTGTGGAGCCTCCATGGGACTGGACTAGGCCCTCTACATGGTGAGACAGTTGTGTAGAATGAACTGCTTAAGGGGCCCCCTGGCAGTAAGATCAGAATCCATCCCTGGTGCATGAGCAGGCCTTTTGGAACCCACTACCTATGGCGGACACCTTGCACAGCCTTGAGGCAGGGGAGGGTCTTGGACCTGCCTCTACTAAATGTAGAGGCCTTATCTTCTTATAAGAGGGAATGGGGGATGGTTTGGGGGGGGGGCTGGAGGGGCAAGAGGAAGGAAGATGGGGATCTTTGGTATGTAAAATGAATAAATTTTTTCTTAATAAAAAATTAAAACTAAAAAAATTACAGAAGAGTGAACATGAAAAGGTATGTTTTGATGGAAAAAAATATAAAATGATCTGTGTGGGCTATTGATTCCCTTCCCTGATTCTCTACTCATATGTGGAATCTATAGGTAATATTCACCTGCCCATTACTTCTACCTTTCTAATCTATACACCAACGATTACACTCAGTTGAGACCATTTCCTAGAATTCAGGTTAAAATGCCTCTAGCCTTTAATTTAAAGAAGTTGGACCAATGGTACAGGCCTTAGAATCATCTTTATGAATCATTTAAACACATTTAGTTTAAAAAGGAACCAAACAAGTAGAAAACAATGAAAAATCACATACCAACCATTTACTGGCAATGTTATTCTCTCTATATTTACAAGTATTGCTACTTTCACCATTAAACATGGAAGAGAGCTATTTTACAGTTGGTGTTATGGTTAATTAATAGTCAATAACTTTGATTCTCTTCATTGTAGAGATCATACGAGGGGCTGATCATTGAACCTGAATAATAATCAATTTGAAATGTAACAACTTAGGAAAGTGAGTATTTATTTTGACTTTGTGGTTTGAGAGTTCATTCTATCATAGAAGGTCAGGAATGTGGACGGAGTGGGAGATATCTTGTCTTTTGTGACTGTGGGCAAATAAAAGTTAGAGATAAATGACAGTGTTCTGCTTTCTACATTGTATTCATCTGGAAAACCTGACTCATGGAACACTGCTGTCCATACTGAGAATGTTCCTTTCCTCCTTTCCTTTAGCAAGCTAACCTTGCTAAAATAATACCCATAGACATGCCCATTGGTGTGTATCCTAGGTGATTTTAAGTCACACATAGTAGTCCATCAATATTAAGCTTCACAAGCACAAGCCTTGTCAAGTTGACACACAAACGTCATTTTAAAACAGTAGCATTCCCTGTTTTGCACTCCTAACAGCTCATGGCTATTTCATAATACAAATTACATTAAGTACATCTCCAAGATTTCCATAGATTTACTATTAGTAACACTGTTTAAAAGCCCAACATCTCTCTGGACTCAAAACAATTCTGAGAGTCTATAAATTCAAGAAACAAGTTACATATTCCCAATATACCATGAAGCAGAATAAACACCCTCATTCAAAAAAGAGAAAGAAGAAATAAAAAGGAGAGATTGTACCAATTTGAGACATAAACTCAACAGAGAAAACACAAGATCATGCATATTTATGCTTAATATCTGGGACACTTTGTAGGATCCTCTAGGCCCTTGGTTTTTCAGGGCCCATGCCTATCTAGTTCTATCATGTAGCCCCTACTCTTGTTCTCTTGAGAAAGTTTCCTTCCATGACTGTAGATTCCTTGGCAGTTTTCTATTGGACATTTCCTATGTCTCCATTCCTACATTAAGCTTTACCCTAATAATTCCATGTTCTCCTCTCATGGTTCCTTGCATGGAACCTAATCCTGACACATATTGCCTCATCTCAGCAGTCAGGTACATTCCTCTAATATCCCATAACTCATGCATTTTACATGTATGCAAAATCAACATCATGTCGAACCTGTTGTCAAGTTCTGCTGTGTCTTTTAGATGGAGTATGGCTCGCTCCCAACAAAAATTATAATGGCCTCTGTACACTTCAGCAGCTGAACCATATCAATTTTATTAGTTAACTTTTCATCTTTTAGTCACTGTTGGGAAATTCTTAACAAAAGTAATTTAAGCACAGTAAGATTTTTTGCATTCACTATTTGAGGAGGAAGAGTTATTCAGAGTAGTGATTCTATGTTATCACAGAAGTTGTATAAAACAAATGGGCACATTATATCACCATCAGGATGCAGAGACTGATGAATGTTGGTGATCATCTGGCTTTTTTCCCCTTTGTTTACTATTTTTGTTCAATCCAGGATTCACATACATAATATAATGCCACTTACATTCAAGGTAAGTCTTCCAACCACAACTGAACCTCTTTGGAAGCACTTGAGCAAATTCATCCAAGTGTTCCATTTCTTAAGGAATTCTAATTCCTGTCAATCAAGTTAACAGTAAATATTAACCACTGCACACAATAAGGATTCAAGAACATTCAGACAAATGACTAAGTCAATGTTGCTTCTGCCTTGAGGGGGAAAGTCACATAAATAGTTATGAAAAATGTCACAAGTTCCTCAAAGCACTGCTATTGTCATTATGTTGTCAAGAATCAGCCAAGATGTGAATTCTCTATATCACTCTTCCTGTGTCTTCCATTCTCCATTTCCATCCATTGTTTAAGTCTGAATGTGTCTGAGAATGTCTGAGTGTTCCTAGCAAAGGGTTTTGTTCCTGCTTTTATTGGACAGCACAGAAAGAATCACAGAGGGAAGGAATGAGAGATAATTTACAAAATCTTAACAGTTTACAAGGGAATAAGTCATTGACTCCAATTGACCCCAACTGACCTATATAACACATAGTGTTACAAACAGAATTTATCGAACAATATCTGAATGGTGGTTTTAATATTTAAGGTGGATATTCATTTTATAAGATTGCTTTGAATATATAATATATTGGTTTTCCTAAATGATTATCATAACACAGACAGAAGCATACATGGTCAGCAACATGAAAGATATACATAACATGATTTAAATTAAACTTCTACATTAGCGTAGGTTGTGAATGTTGATTACACGGGAAATCCAAGACAATTAATGTTGGTTGTTAGACTTTTCTCCCAAAGCAAGTTAAACAAAGAGGCTGAGAACACAGTAGTGACCTCAAACTGTATTATTAACTCTGGTGTGAGGTCCAGAAAAAATAAGTCTCTTTGAATGCCAGAGATATTTTTATAATATTGCATTGTCATAGTTGGTAACAAGACATGTATATGGTTGTCCTGTATACAATGTATGCCAAACAGTTTTTACATGCAGGTTATTAATACCATTTTATTACATTTATTTATTTATTTTACATGTGTACATGTAAGATACAGTTATATGTGCAGTCATAGGAAAACCACAGAAGTTGGTTTCTGCCCTTCACTGTGTGGATCATAAGTATTGAACTTTTGTGTCCAGCTATCAGTCAGCAAGTACCTTAACCTGCCCAACCATTTTCTCAGCCTGTTAATAAAATTTCAATAATTAGTAAAGTAAAATAGAAGTAATGTAGTAAAATAATAGTCTAGACTTCAATTTGTTTTAGATAGATCATGTATTTTGCTAAAAATAATTTGTTATAGTTTACTTACTATTTACAAACTTTCTCTGACACTTTACAAAATAGTAAACATATGATGGAGAGAGACTTTAAGAAATTATTCATTATTGGGTAGTATGTTTATGTTTATCATTTCTTTGGAAATTAGATATATTTGTTTTATATTTTGCCAAAGTATTTATAGACTGTGATGATAATAATGGAAAAATAGTCTTATTAAGTGAAATAGTGTAAGGAATTAGGTCGGCTCTATGGAAGAACTAATAAATATTTACTCATTAAATAGAGGAATGGTATTTATTTTGTAAGTACTTTGCTTTTCTTTTACCATTTTAAAAAAATATGGTGTTTTTAGACAGTGTTTCATTATGTAGCACAGTCTGCCCTTATACTTGTAGCCATCCTCCTGCTTAGGTTCTGGAGTTACTGGTATTCACCACCATTCCAAATGTTTGTTTTCCTCAGAAAAGAAAAACTAAGCTATCCATATCTATTTTTTCATACCTCCAGAAAAATAACTAGGAAAACATTTACATGTTGATGTAACTAGTGTTTTTAAATGATTATAAAATGTGAGAATCAGAGTTCTATTCATGCTTTGGAACTGGACCTTTGCTCTAGGCAATGAATGGAGCAGAAGACATTATTTATGCAACATCTCTGGACAGCAGGAAGACAGACTCCTCAGCACCGCACGTTGAGAACTGAGGGTTTTACTGAATTGAAATGCACACATCTCTGTTATTCAAAACTGTATTTGGTTACATAAATACGATCACCTATGCTTAAGATTTGAACCATCCCACTCGTTTACGTAAATCACCCCATTAAACAACATAAGCTGACTAACAAAACTGTTAACTTCCCTCATTAAATTGAAATCTCAGACTTTTAATAAACAATTTGAGTCAAGTCTTTCTTAGAGGTAAATGATGTAATAAAATCATTTCTGTTATTACTTGTATTTCTGTACACTCCTTATTTTACATATTTAAAATTAGAATACTTAGGTTACTCTCAGTACTGAGTTTTCTCACACAGAGAAAACATTTATGATTATGACTGCCCTAAAGCAGCTTTTCTTTTCCATACAACCATAATTTGATTTTAAAAACACTTTCAATCTTCAAAGTAAAATCAACACCTTTACTGTAAATATTAGATTTTATAGTAGGTTGTCAATGCAAATTTTCTTTCCATTTGTAACATTTTCTTTTCCAATTAAACATGAATTTTAAAAAAAAAGAAGTTTACAGAATTGCAGTTATTCTTCTTCTCTATAGCATGACCTAAAATACTTATGCATGAGCAAATAAAATATGAGTTTTCATTCTAAACCTTGCACCAATGAGTAGCTAGGTCAGCTAGTATTTATTTCATATGCTATTGATGTGGCTTTCATGGGGGCAGCTTGTTATCACACTTTCTCTATGACATATCCACCATATTTCTTATGGCTCTACAAAGATAAACACATGCTATAAGACCCACAAATAAGAGGTTTGAGATAATTAAGCACAAAGAGTCCACATGAGCATAATAGACTTTAAGGAACATGGAAGAGTCAAAAATCCAGAAATAAGTTTTGCTCTACAGTTTCAGGAAAAATGAATGACACTCACATATTTTTGCAAAAGATTTGCTTGGGCTGAGACTTTTCCTAAAAAGAGAAATTATTTCTTTTCTCTATTAATATTCATGCTTTTGATGAGTCATGATCCCATTTAAATTTCAGGTATATAATTTAATATTTTTCACCTATAAATACATGTTGACTGAAGAACAGTATATATTAATCGAAGTTTAATTTACAGTTGAGGATGTAACTCAATGATGGGATACTTGATAATTTACACATGGCCTAATTTTGAGTCAAGCACAGTGGATTAATTAATATCCAAATGAAGAAAAATCTTATTTCCACTGAAGACAAGGTTCACGTTATTTCTGAGCCTATAAAAATTGATTTTTATTTTCAGATTTTTTGATGTGAATGTGTGTGTGTGTGTGTGTGTGTGTGTGTGTGTGTGTGTGTGTTGGGTTTGGGTTTACATTTACCTGTATCTTTTTTTAAATTTTATTTTACAATACAATTCAGTTCTACATATCAGCCATGGATTCCCTTGTTCTCCCCACTCTCACCCCCCTCCCCTTCCCTCCAGCCCATCCCCCATTCCCACCGTGTCCCTGCTCAGCCAAGAACGTGATTGATTATGGGACTTCTATACTGTGTGAAAGGTCTCAAACACAGTTTGCTGTAAAGTTCCCACTGTCCCCCCACAGGAACTCTGAGCAGAGTGATAACAGAGCTAAAGGGCTGGTGGGGTTTGCTGTGGGTGAGAACCACAGCCTGGATTGCTTGCCGGAGGGACAGCATTTAAAACAGAAGAAGTTTCCTCAGAAGAGGGGCTATCTCTCCTGGGCAGATCAGGTATATTTACAGCTCTAACCAGGCATTCTGGTAACCATCTGGGAGCAGAGTGTATCTGGTCAAGAATGCAGGCTGAACCTCATCCCCAAATAAGGACTGGGTCGGGGCCCTCCCAACGCCCCGTGAGGGGAGTTATAGGTAAAATTATTAACAGAGGGATAAAGATGGGCAGGAGGGGACTCCTGGGGATTGTTAGGTTTAAAAGTCATGAGCATCCCCTCTTCCATAGAGAGCAGGTCGTGAGCCGAGGGACAGACTGAAGGCTCTCGAGAAAGCGCTTGGGGGGGTGTGTCTTAGGGCAGGTAGAGGGGGAGTGAAAGGCTTCTTTGAAGATTTTTTTCTCCTATATTAATAAGCTCTTGCATGTCAGGGAAATGTTTATAGACCCTAAGAATGTCATTAATTAAAAAAAGGGCTTTAAGGTCTTTTTTATTTACTCTAGTTACTTGTATCTTGAGGGGCTCATTTAGACCAGAAATGAATAATACTGTGATGACGTTGCCTGTCCCAAGGCTCGTCACTTTCTTACCTGCGTCATCTCTGCTCTCCTCCGGGATTGCATCCTGAACCGGGCCATTTCTGGGGGTTCCAACAACTTCACCAAGGCCTTGGTTTTCCTCCGGGAGACGACGTTCCGAACCTTAAGAGGTGGTTTCATCTACCACCAGTTGCCCCACCTGCAGGGCTTCAACGGATTCTCGACCACCCTAACGAGGGAATGTAGGGACAGGAGATACAAAGGAAAAGACACCAAGTCTAGATTCTGATCAAGGTGCCACTTTATTTCTCTTCCAGAAAGGTTTATATAGTTCCACAGGGTGGGGGGAGCAAAAAGCTGTCATCTGCATAAGGTGGGGCAAGCTAACAGGATGTTTGTATAGGATGTTTACAGGGTGAGAGGGTCAAGGGCTCTGACTCAATGTCCTGTTGCTAGGCAACCTGATTGTAAGGTGATCTAGTTCCCTGTCTTATTGGGGGTCTGTATTTTTCCACTAACTAGAGATTCTGTCCTTGTCCCTGACA